CCCTTTTGATCTAAAACAATGAAAGGAAAATCAGAGTGTAACATTGCCATTCTAGAACTAGAAAGGTGTCCTAACCTAAAATGCCATAAGGCTTGGTCTGGTATGGTGATAGCGTTGGAAATAGAAATACCAGTAACAGTATGCAACATCTTATTTGACAGAGTTAAGTAGTACAATCCTTCATTGAAGTCAGCAGAACCAATCATCTTCAGTGACTGAGGATCCTGGATTAAACTGAGATTTCGTGAAATTGATAATACAGTGTAAATCAAGACAAAGTTTTGAAACTATAATTAAATTTAGTGAGAATTAAGTTACATAGAGAATGTTTTGGATGAAATTTTTTAATGTAAAATAGATGGTACCTATTTCTTTAGCTATGTCAAAATTTCCATTAGGTAACCTAATATTAACATGGTTAATTTCATGAAATGAGTGAAACCAATGAAGGGAACCACAAATGTGATCACTAGCACCAGAACCTATGATCCAAGAGCCAAATGTTGAATTGTTTAGATAGAACAAAGTAGATATGTTACCTATATTAGTAGCTGATTGATGGTCGGTTGAGTGGAATGAGTTTACTTGATTAGAAGCAGATGCATTATTTGATTGTTTGCAAACATTGGAAGCCTAAAGAGGTGACACAAGAGTTTGGCACTGCTCAGTAGTAAGTTGAGGTAGAGGTTGATGATAATTTTGAGAATCACAACTTGCATCTGAATGTGAGTTATCTAAGTAATCAACATTATCATTTAGAGCATTTGAACTTGAATTACACTGCAAATGAGGAGGTACACCATGTTTACGGTAACATGTGTCAATTATGTGGCCTGGTTTCCCGCAAAATGTGCAGATTTTCTGTCCATATTTCTTGAAAGAGGGTTTCCTATAATCAAAAACATTGGCAAGAATCTTAGATTCATCGAGAGAGAAGTAGGAATAGGGGAAATCTGGAGTTCATGTTGAATAACCATGGAGCAAATCTTGTTTAAAGTAGGAAACAAATCAAGTAGTAGGATATGTGACTTAACCATATTGAAATCTTTATTCAATCCAATAAAAAACCGAATAACATGCAACAAATTATGGTTAGAACTAGCACTATGCATAGCATCACAAGAACAATGAATGCGACAACTATAAGTCAGTATAGGCATATACATTTCCAATTCCTCCCAAAGAATTTTGAGCCGAGAAAAACATTTAGTTAACATTCAGTTATCTTGCTTCAAAGAGTAGATCTCTTGCTGCAATTCAGAGATTCGAACTAATTCACAGGCTCAATGATACCATCTTGCAAGAACTATAACTACATTGCAAGAAGTGAAAGAAACTAGAAGAGAATCCATAACTGCAATGTAACAGAAATAACAAACTCCATTTGGAGAAGATAACAAATGATTGGTTATTATTGATTTATCTTGAATGAATTACAAAGTGTGAAGAAAAAGCTTGTATACACTAATACACATCTGACCTTAGATCTCGTACTAGATCCATTAGATCAACCTATGATTACACTAATATCAACCATTAGATTAACCAGTTGGATTATCTCAATATGGTGTTTGGAACCTCAATTTTACTGAATTTGTTTTATTTTCAAGTATTTTCCTACTCTACTAGGATCAATTTATTCGGTTCCTAACAAGCCTAGAATCATTAACAAAACCTATCTCGTTTGAGACCAAGCAATCAAACCAGAAGTATAACATCCCATTGATTTTTAAAAGTTGACTTTTCAATATACACTAGAATATATGAAAAAGATATAAACATCTGGATTAGCTTAATTTAAGGCACATAGACTAACTTGTCTGCTTGAATCTTTAATCACTTGTGATATTTGAATCCTCATAAGTTGTAAAGGTTTATATGCAGGTTTTTATAGATGTTTCTTTATCAAATACTACTTTTGGTTTTCATCATCAAAATCACTTTATCGAGAACTTTCTTGATTTCCTACAAAATATGGTTCCACATTTTTCCCATTTTTGATGATAACAATGCATCCATAGATAGTTGGTAAAAGAAACCAGGCGGGTAAAAGTCCCCCTCAACCAAGTAGATAGTATACTCTACTCCCCTGAGAGTATACTTTTCCCTTTTTGTCAAAATAAAAAAGGCATGTAAAAGATGCATTGCAAGAAATTAAATGCAAACGTATTGGCCCACAAGCATTTAGGAAAGGAAAAACATCCACTGCTACGAAAAAAAGCATTTAACAATGGTTGGAAAAGATATATAATCATGCAGGTTCAAGAGTTGTTATGTAGAGTGTTATTGTAAATGTATTACCTACAATCACAATTTTGGGACCGTTGTAGTATACTGGAAAACACGCGCGATATCACAACGGTTAGTTAACTCAACCATCATGATAGACCTAAAGGTTTCATGTTTAATTCTCAGCATCGATATTTAGGAACATAAATTACAATTCATCACGGTTACTATAGATTATCATTGTGGAAAGTAACCATAGTTTATTATATAATACGTAGATTGATTATTTTTCCATAAACTTCATTAAATAAATACAACCATTCAAATTGATAAAGAAGTATATAATCTAAAAATTAAACTATTCTTGAAAAGTAACTTAAACCAACCACTGTTTTCCGAATTGCATGTCTCTCATCATTCGTTTCATGCTCTTTAACACATAAACTATGGTTCAATGATATGATTCCTTCATTGCGTAGATTTCTTTGATTCTAGTTTAATTTGAATAACATCAATTTATTGGCTAACTCTACCTCATCATTTTCCCTTATCTTCCTGATTGTTATGACGACTTATCATCATAACAATCGTGATCATAATAATCACGATGATAAGGAATGAAGAAGAGGTAGAATTATCCAATAAATTAATCTTATTAAAATTAAACTAGAATAGAAGATATAGATGTAATGAAGGAATCATGTCATTGAACCATATTCTATATGTTAAGGAGCATGAAATAAACGATGAGACACATATAATTCAGAAAACATCGATTATAATTCAGAAAACATCGATTGATATAGGCTGATTTTCAAATACATCTTAATTTGAGATTATAAGTTTCTATGTCAATTTAAATGAATATACTTTCATTGAAACGTTAGTGAAACGAACAATCTACATAGAATATAATAAACTAAACTTCATCTACTGTTTACTTGTATAAGAATTTAAAGAACAAAATATTGTTAAATCACAAGAAGCCTATTTCTTGTGACTTAGCAATGTTTTATTCTTGTCTTGAGAACATTTGTCAACAACAACTGTTAGACGGTGTGGCAAGTGATCGAGAGGGGGGGGGGGGGGGGGTGAATAGATCACCTCTTCTTTTTCAAGGATTTTAAAATTGTTTTATCAAAGAGAGTTGAAAGCAGCGAAAATCAGTGACCTGAATCAATTCCGTCTACTTTGAACTGACTACTAGAAAACTTGACATGTGAAAACTTTGCTGGATTTTTATTGAATAGAATGGATGAATGTACAACTCAGAAATCTTGACGTTTCAATGCACTTATCATAAAACAGAATTTCCAATGAATTTAGAAATACGATAGGAATTTTGTCAAACACTTGGCGTAGCTTGTATACTGATTTAATAGTGGTGGTTTGGTGAAAATGTTTGAGCCACTATGTTTATCATTAGAATGTAAAACTTAGCATGCCAATTGAGTTACAAAATTATAGAATATGTAAAACTGTAAAGAGAAAGAAAGAGAGAACGATACACATGCAGTTTAGTAAGGAAGTTCCCCACTGTCGTCCTCGCGTGTGGGTACGTCTCCCTCTCAATTTCCCAATCGAAACTGAGAACTTTTATATCAATATGCTGAATTATTTGATAGCAAGGTTACACTACACAGTAAGCAAGAAATCCCTATGATCTTCTTCTTCTTGTAAGAACCACCACTTGATAAGAGC